CTGTTCATATGGACCTGTCGGCAGACAGAACACTACAAATAAAAAAATAAATATATATCCTATCTTTACATTCATAGGACACGTGCGCATGTATGCGCACGTGCAGGCACTTGAATTCATAAAGCCCTGTTTAGTTACTTAAGTTCATCGCTGTTTGTGTATTAGCCTGTGAACACTCTATTTTAACCATTTGAAACTTTGTCTCATCCTTATAAATTTCAATACATTTTAAGTACGTAAGACTGATACAGCTAACTGACGATCTGAAACAAGGAAAGAAGATGAAGTTCCAGGAATTAAAATGAGAAGCTGAGAATAGGGAAAACTGGAGAGCTCTTTTTGGGCAGAGCAATGGACCTGTCGTAAGACAGAACACTGAATAAAATAAATAAATACCAAATATGATATTTTATAAACATCAATGTCATTTTATGTTATGTCATCCACATCATTAATTAAAAGTATATATAGAGTACATACAAATTTGGATTTGTTCCTGCATTCCATGTGATGGAATATCAGCAGCATGTCTTAAAGATCCTCAGAATTTAAGTCAATATTAGCTTCATTTTATGGTGTCCAGTAGATGTAGAAGGTATCAGTATGAATATTACATGTCGCCTGCATCATGCTTCTCTTTTTTCACTGAATTCTGTTGTGTATTGCTACTATCCATGCATATCATGGACATCATGATATAAATTTTTTACACAACAGTGGTTTTCTTTCAGGTAAATACTTCAAAATAGATTACAATAGTATAATTCTAACAACTGTTAAATGATGTAAGGAGCAGGCAGTAATCACAGATTTTTGTGTTCAAAATTTGGTCACTCAATGCCATCTTGCTGGCTCTTTGATGTGTTACAATTTTTATTTCTTTTGTTTAGAGAATTAATGGAAATCTAGTATAGAAGTATCTGATGTAGAGTCAAAGTGAATGAGTGTCTAGATTACCACCATGAAGCATATTTCAGAATACAGTAGGGCCCCGCTTTTCGGCGATCCGCTAATACGGCGCTCAACAGCTGAGTCAGAGAAGTGTGTCCGGCGCCATTTTCTCGTCGCTGATTCAGTCTGTTTACAGCTACTACTGATATTCATCTTACTTTCATATCGTTTTCTTAGGCCTAGCACTATTGTGCACTTACTATATGATAGTGTAACATCTTATTAGGCTTTGATATGGATTTGCAAGTGAAAAAAGGCAAAGATCCGCTTTACGGCGGGGGGCTGGTCCCTAACCTGCCTTATAAGCGGTGCCCTACTGTACTTAATTTTATGTGTACTGACTTTATCAAATCTCAAATTAAGTGTAGATGCTCAACTGAAGGGAAACTATAGTACTTT